AAACAGAAATGTGTCCCTTTGCAAAATCAAACACTGACAAATAAGAGAGCACGGCACTGTATGATTTCTAGAGCTGATATAGGGCAATTTGTTCAGCAGAGTGATGTAAGCTTCGTTATGATTGCATCATCCATGACTTCTAGGAATAACATGATGCAATTCATATCATGTATGATACAATACCAGCTTCAGATTACATCATTCATTGTTTTGCCTAAAAAGCAAGTACTGTCCAAACCCACTCATAGATTTATTCATAGATCCAGTCAAAGATGTATTTCAGTCACTTCTGGTTTAAATTGAGATCCCTTCCCTTTATAACTCACTTATCCTCCGCCATTCCCAAGTCAAGGGTCGTATATACTGACCCAATAGCATATCTTGAAAACTAGAGCCAATCAACAATTTTAACCATCATTTTCGTTCTCAGTGACACAGAATTAGTAAAGTTTGACTACATTCATTTCAGAAGCATTTTGGCTGTAGAGCAGTGTTACCAGTCTGCACCTTGGGCCTGTGGCAGAACTTTTAAAATACTGATGGGTGCATCTAGCTTAAAAAATTCTCATCTGTTATCCAGTCAGTCCTTCTGCATGTGAAAACTTTGATGGCCACTTTCTCAAGGCAGCTGATAATTATATCTGCTCTCTGTGCTGAAGGAGTGTGCCACATATTGAGTGATGTGATCACTGCTCCAAAAAAGAAAGAGTTAGAAAAGTTAAAGTTCAGGGCTAAGGGATGAATATGATGGAGACTGCCAGCCGGTTTGATTTCATTTACTAATTTAATTTACTAGTTCTCCACCTGCTGGGTTAGAAAAGGTCAAAATTGTAATGTCAGGAATAATATAAGAAATCTGCAGAACCACAAGGTTGCTGGGCTTTACTTTATATGTCAGAATTGATCCTGTTCTGCTATCTGTAATGGTAGTAAGGACTTTATAACTTATTTCTTTTCTTCACATGAAATGCAACAAACTCAGAGGGTTAGTGCAAATAAAGTTCTATTGAAAGTGATGCTGGAGTCTACAGGACTTCTGCTGTTGCCCAACATTTAGTGAAACTTCTGCACTTCCACAAATTCAAAAGACTTTCATCATATAGCTGAGTTTACACCTTGTCTGTACAATGCTGTCTTATGAGGCTGAAACAAGGAATCGAATTGTCAGTTTGGGTGAATTACACCTAGTGAAGGAATTGTGAGGAGGGCAGTAAGTTAAGTTGTCTCAGGGGCTAAGGGTCGATCTGGGAAGGTGAGAATAACTGTCATGCTGTTATACTTTGATCATGCTCCATCTCCTCTGACTGAGCTGTGAAGGGGAATGTGGAGTAGAGCCATTGTGCCTGCTCTGAATCACTCAGGGAAGTCCCTACAGAAGGGATAGATCACTGGAGGTTGGATCTGTTTGGCTTATGACTCCTGTTATGCCAGTGTGATAGCATGAAGGAGCTGAATCACAAAGGACAATTAGGCCCAAAGTCTTTACCTTTATGCTCTTGGAAGATCAATATTCTCTAGCTATTGGAGGGCCTTTCTAAGACTTTATCTCTCCAAGATGGAACCTAGGTCAAGTTTCCTTTTCCTTCATTTGGAAATGATAGGGATTCTCTGTAGCCTTCGCTTAGAGTGATGCTTGTGTGTTGTCCACCTTTCAAAACAATCCTAGGCTTGCAGAGCTTAATGTAGACACAGTAGGCTAGATATCATCAGTCTTCTTCCAAAACCAGTACTTCTTGTGTGTGTGTGGGGGGGAGATAATCCTAAAAAAAATTTTTTGTAAATAACTGCTTGTTAGTTATATGTTGATTTTGTTTCTTTTAGTTATGACAGTAAGTATCTCCATAAGCACACGAAACTTGTTTCAGTTTTGTGACCTAAAAAAGAAAAAAGAGTAATTGCCATATCAAAAGACCATTGGTTCATCCAATCATATATGCTGCCCCAGTTCTGGCTTATATCTAATGTTTCAGAGAGAGTCAATAAAGTGCCATTATACACCCAGCTAATTTTGTAATACTGTAGTTCAGGGAGAAATTTTCTTCCTGGTCCTGTCTGATATTTAGTTTATAACTTGACACATAAAATAGATATCATTATGTATTTTTTTCTGTCGTAGTGTAACTGTAGATGTTATGCTTTGGCTGTCTTATACTTAGAATAAAAAAAGCTATTTGCCATTATATTTTTAATTTTGTCTACAAGTATTTACCAAGAAGATATAAAAACATAGGTTTTTAGAAGTATGTAACATTAATTTTCATTTTTACAGGTATATAACTATTTTTTCAAGTATTAATGTTTTCTGAATTATGTAACAGATGTGTAATATGTATGGCACTTAATTTTCAATTGATTTTCTCCTTTGTTAATAGATATTTTGTCCCATGATGTAGTGATACAATAACTGAAAGCGT